CTAAGGAACAACCCTGCATGAGAAACGCGGCGCATTTTTTTGTTGAAACAAACAAGCGAAATCTCAACGAGAGGCCGAACCCCTTTTCGCGTGCCGTTCCGCTGCGATGATTTGCCTTCACTATTATTGGAAATCCATGTGCGCCAAACGATTGCAAACGATTGCCAAGAAACGCCCATCTGTCTTCTGCTACTCCAAGATCAAACGTGCAAATGCAGCCCGCGCGAGAAACTCGACGCGAATGCTTTCCACGATGCACAATCGAAAGCCCAATGGAGAAAACCAGGTGCAATCCCACCAGCCCTCTGGGCGTCGGTGGTTTAATTGGTTACCTCTTCCACCCCTCCTTTTCCCCCTTCGGGCCCCCCCCCATGCAAACTCCCCGTGGACGTGGGCGGGGGGGCCCTTGGGGTGTCGGGGCGCCCAAAACGGCTGCCTCGGCGAGGACGCCAGCATCTTTGGTTCTATTGAGGTTTTGGCCCCATGTTGGCTTCCTGATGGGGGGGGGAATGGGTGGCGAATTAGCCCCCCCCCCTCTCCCCCATCAACCTGTGATCGATCTCACCCAAGATGGCCCAACTATGGCCCCCACGGCTCCCATGGGCGCCCCAATGGGGGCCCAGCGAAGTGGCCAAGGCGCCCCAAGATGCCCCCAGGACGCCCCCGAGAGGCTCCCAATGAGCGCCATGAGGCCCCAGAAGACCCCCCCATAGGCACCCGAAATGATCCGAGATGCCTCGGCAAGAATGCAAAACCCATTGATTTTGCTAAGACGCTGGCCTCTTGGGGGGGGGGGGGGGGGGGGACTGATTAAGATGACTGCTGAGCGCCTGGGAGAGCCCGCGATGGCCTCCAAGATGGCCCAATATTACCCGAAATGTCCCACACTGGCTCCCAAATGCCCCCAAGACCGCTCCAAGACGGCCCCAAGTGGCCAAATAGCTCCCCCAGGAGGCCCCGAAGAGGCCAACATCCTTCCAAAGCCATCGGGCAATCACTGTGTTTGGCTTTCTCGCCTTTGCACTTCCGATGGCCATCCGACGCGTTTACTCCAACATGGCCCAAGAGGGCCGCAATAGAAACTCAAGAGGGCCCAGAGACTGCCCCAAGAGCACCCGAGAGTGCTCGAAGAGCGCCCCAGGAGCGCCCGAAAGGCAGCGCTAAGTAATGCCCCCCTCTCGTTTGATAGATGTCCTCCAAGATGGCCCCGAGAGCGGCCCCAAGGCCCCCGAGAGCGCTCCAAGAGAGCCCCACGAGGCGCCCAGGAGGCGCCGGGTGGCCCCGCAAGCGCCCAAGAAGCTTCCAAAACGCTCCCCAAGAGACCCCAAGAAAGCCCCAAGCAGCTTTCCGAGGCACCCAATGCGCTGTTGGCGTCCAGGACCGAGCGGCTCCCAAAACGCTCCAAGAGGCCTTCACTGGGGGACCCTTCCTTTCATTGCGTGTTGCCCACTTCCCTGATCGTGGCAATTCCTCTGGGCATCGTTTCTGGATGGTCTGGTAGGGTTGCGCTAATCGTTTACATGTCTTCCAAATTCCCCATCCCGACGTGGAGAGCCCCCCCTGGCCACGGGGGCCAATTTGTCTGACGACGGCCAGCCGCTGCAGAATGAACTCGATTGAGCCCCCTAGCCGCGAAACGCGTGAGGAATGCGCGAACCGCTGCGGCTGTCGGTGGAGCCGTGGAGCCGCGAAGCGCGCGACCTGCCCCCCTTTTCCTTCCCCCCCTGCCCTTCTGTCACTGTCACCAGCGCCACTGGTCCTGGCTGGCTGACTGGCGTGGGGGGGGGCCGAAGGAGGGCGCCTGGCGGGCGCCTGGGGGGCCCGCGATCGGCCAGCGAGCGGGCGATCCTTTCCCCTGCCAGGATAAGGATACACGCATTTTATCTATATATAGATATATCGGCACATGTATGTGCACATGCATACACACAGGGGGCATCCAAACAGAAAACACAGAATATCCTCCGTCCTCCTCCGCCCCCGAACCGCCGCCCTCCTTGCGAGGGCACCCGTGGCACGCCCACAAGACTCAGACCCGCGCTGCCCCTGTCGCCGACTGCCAGCGCGACCGCCAGAGGACCCCAAAAAACACTCACGCCCCGCCGCCGTGCCGCTCCACGGCTCGGCGGCGGGGCCCACGGCGACGGGCCTGGCGGGTTGGCACATTGGCCATTGCATGAACCTCCCCCGCCTCCGCCGTAACCCCCCAAACCAAAGAACAAACCATGGCGCATCACATTGCATCGCGCGCGTAGTGCGCGAGCAAGCAACATGGGGAAATTTTCCAAGGGCCCATGGGGCACGCTCGGACGGCGTTTCCGCTCCTTTGGCACGCCCCTGGCCCCGGCCACCTCCAGAGTTTCGCCGAAAACGCGGTTTAAAATGCGCTCGACCGGCGTCGCCGTTTTATTTCGATATACCTTTTGCAAATTTCGATGCAGCCAGGGGGGGGGCACCAAAGGCCTTATTAGCATGCGCGTAACTTCGAGTCAGTTCTGACTTAAGAATGGCTTAACTTTCGACCTAACTTAGTACGTATCAGTACTTATTATGCGAGCGAGCTGGCTTATAATAAGTGTTTAACACCTATCGCTATATAACCTTAGTGGATAAGTCCGAAATGCGCATGAAGGTGGGGGGGCGCCACGGGAGTGCACCGCGGGACATGTCAAGGCGACAGACCACGACGACCTGCAATCGAAACCGCAATGCGAAGCATTCAATAAAAAAACATCATTTTCTGATCGCAAGATGCTCACACAAGAGAACCGTTCACTCATTTCATGCGTCGACGATCAGATAATTTAGCAGCCCATATGCATATAATATATACAAATATGTATGTTTGAATGTATTTCAGGTGCAGACATGCGTTGCGCAACCCACGTTGGCGTTGGCGCGCAGCAGGCGGGCTGTGGGATTTGCGCATGTCCGCATGTGCAGAAAACTGGCAAGTCTGGGCAGTTCAGCCTCGAGGAATCCAGCGGTTGAGCTCGCGCGGCGCTCCCGCTCCTCAGGGCAGTCGAGCCTCGGGAAATCCAGCGGTTGAGCTCCCCCCCGTGGTGGCGCGTCGAGAGACGCGCGTCAACGCGCTCAAGCTCTCGCGGGCTCTCACAATCTTGCTTTCATTCTCGGTCGCTCCCGCAAGGTGCGCATCTTGCGCTGCAATCCACTCCGCAGTGGGCAATCCAACCTGCATCCTTAATATCTTGACGTCGTGGACGCACGCCGATTTGACATATCCCCCACGCACACACGCACGCACAGGAGCACGTCCTGACGCCTCTCTACCGCCGCATCTTTGGAATGCTGTCGCTGCGAGGTCTGCCCGGCCAGGTCTTTCCCATCTTCGGCTCGCCCCCGCCACCCATGCGTCGTCGGGGGGCGGGTGGCGGATGTCTCAGGCCAGGCCAGCGGGGGCGCCCGCAGTTGTCTTCGTCTCTGGCCTCTCTGTGCGCGACCCTCAAGGCGCGCGCGTCTCTGTGGAGCGTCCTGCAGCCAAGTGCCCTGCGCAGGCGCCTTTTTCCACAGGGGGTGGGCATATGCTGACTGGCTGTCTCGCTCGCCCATCCTTCTCACATTTGGGGGGGCTCGTCCTGCCCGGCAGGTTGAAGCGAACGTTTGCAAATCATGCGTAAAAAAGTAGTTGCGCGACCTCGTGAGTTTCGACTGCCCCGTGGAATCTGGCCGGGGCGGCGACGCGGCCATCCCTGCAAATCGAATGTCAAGCGAGGGCGTGGAAGGGGAAGCGCCGTGATTCTGGTTCCCCGAATGCAATGGCCGCTCAATCCATGTGGTCGAATATGCTTAGCGCGCCTAATACCACGCCCCCGCGCAAACGGGTTCGGTCGCGCCTCCGTCAGGCGATCGCGGCGCTCGTTCGGCACTCCGGCTTCCCGTCGCCAGTTTTTGTTTCTTCAAGTTTTTTGTGTCTCTGTCTCTCTCTCTTTCTCTCTCTCTCTCTCTCTCTCTCTCTCTCTCTTTCTCTCTCACTCGCTCTCTCTTTCTCTCCCCCATCGTCTCTTCTCGCTGGTGTTCTCTTCGCGCGGGGCATTCGTTCCAGTGGCCCGCGGCGCGCAGAAGAGAGGGTTCGCGCTGCCCCAACGAGTATGGAATACTCGTTATTTGTCATCCAGGACAGCGCCCTTGGCCTATCGGGGGCCGCATGTTTTCGTTCAGGGGGGCCTCCCGCTCTTTCCTTGCCCACTTCACCGTGTGGGTGACCAGCGCCGTAAGCAATCCGACGTCAATCACGTGGCGGCCGCCTGCAGTGCGATCCCAGCGTTTTCAGGCCGCGGCTTGTTTGCGCGTTGCCAGGATTGCGGGCCCTTGCACGCCCAGCCTTGCACGGAGGAGGAGGAGAAGGAGGAGGAGGTGCCGGAGGGCAAATGGATAAGGGAGGCGAGCGGGCAAAACCAATAGATATAGGAGGTGCCCAAATAAAAGGTAAACGGAGGTTGGGTAATGGGTGGGGCGGGGGGGGACCGAATCTGGATTCTTACGTTCGGAAAAGCGGTTTCAACGGACGGACCGGGAACAATGGAGAGCGTGGAAACGTAAGGGAAACAAGCAACATGACGCATGCATAGCGCAATTATGAACAAAACGGCGGCGGGCAGCTCTCGTCGTCTTTTGGGGATCAGGGCTGGATGGTCCAGGCGGCGACAGAGACCAGAACCCGGGCCCCTCATGGCGCGAATTTGTTGTGGTGGGTTGGCTGCTTCAAAAAACCCAGTGCGTCTCGCTGTTCGATCACTTCTGAGCCTCCCCGAGCTTCATTTTAGCTCTCCCACCATCCTCGCCCTGGATCATCGGGCCGCCTCCATAATATTTGATGTTCCTCGATCAATCCTTGATTTTCCTGTGTCCTCCTCGATCCTCGAGGAGGAGGAAGACGAGGAGGGGGAGGAGGAGGAGGAGGAGGAGGAGGAGGAGGAAGAGGAGGAACACGAGGATGAGGATTTTCGCTTACTGCTGGCTCGTATCGCCAAGCCTCGGAGGACGCGCCAGAAGGCCACGAGGCTTGGGGCAAGACGTGGTATGAGCGGCGCAAAGGGGTCGTCTGCCTCAGCCTGGGGGCGCTCGGTGTGCGGCGCGCCGACGGGAGCCCTGTGTGGTCCAGCGGGGCGTTCAGAAAGGAGAGGAGTGTCGGGGCGGCCAAGAGGGGGGTGATGACGGGGGGGGTGGACATCATGGCGTGGGCCATGATATGTCCTCAGATTTAACGGCGCCTCTCCTCATTTCATCACGTCCCAGGCCCCCTCCCCCTGGACCGCGCACGTGTCGCAGCGCCCCTCCCCTCTTGGACGCCCCCCTCGTGGCCGCTCCCGAGAGGTGGGAGGAGGAGGGGGGGGAGGAGGAGGAGGAGGAGGAGGAGGAGGAGGAGGAGGAGGGGAGGAGGAGGAGGAGGAGGAGGAGGAGGGGGATGCTTGAACTGATATGGCTTAGGGGCGCTCAAACCTAGTTGATGGGGCCAGAAGCCTGTTGTACCACCATGGTGCACCACTGGAGGCCAGGGCAGCTTTGAAGCAAAGCGATTGGATGTCTGGAGAACCCCACTGACTCTGTGCGAGCACTATGTCCTGCCTTGAGGGCGACGGTTCAGCTTGAACCTCGCACCAGCCGTGACAATGCAGTCAGGGAAGATAATATCCGAAGACCCTAGGACGAGGAGAAGGGGGCCTTTGCCACCCCCAGGCGGGAGTGGGGACTGGGGCCCTGACAATCTCGCGTAGTGAAAAAAGGACGACGAGAGATGTGTTCCACCTGTCGGCCTCCCGGAGCTACTGCCGCTGGGCTCACCCAAACACGGCTTTGGATGAAAAGCCGGTCCCTTGGGGGGGGGGTCCAGACCTCTGAGGGACCTACGCTGTGAAAGGATTACGACGTAGGACCCTTGGGGAGAGGAGTTTCCAGGCCACCCCAAGGGGCGCGAAGATAGTCGCGCTTCGCGCATCGCGGCCTGGGCCAGAGCGGCTGTCTTTCTCCAAGGGAGGCAACGCGAGGGCGTGAGGACGCGATGCGCGACGTTAGGTGACCGAGGGATTCTGCACCATGCAGCTGATTTCGGCCTCGCCTCCAGACGCTGTTCTCGATATGTGGGCGCCTCCAGCGCCGGGAGGCGCCGGGAAAACCAGACATTTGGGTTGATTCGCTAAACACCCTTTTTCTAACTCCTCTTTGGTTCGACCCGGCAGCCGTGCCGATCGAGGAGGATCGAAAGGTTTAAAGCCATTTCTGGCCAGACCTTCTTGGGGCCCACCTAATGGATTTGTTCAAGTCAAATTCGACTCAAATAGGCGGACGTTCGACGCAACATCGACGTATGAGTGGAGCGAGTGGTTCCAGGAGTGCTCCTAGAACGAGCATCTCACTCTGCGGGCCGTAAGATGTGGATCAAGAGTGAAAGGGGACGGATGAACCTTGGAAGTGGTCCTGGGGGCGATTTTATCTTGTTCGGGGCAAGGGGATCGAATGTGAGGTTCGAGGATCATTCAGTACCCTCCCCTCTAGATTCTAGATTCTGGAATTACTACAACATGAATGCGGCGCGACCCCAATTAGGGGAAAGCTTCCTATTGCATGGGCGCAGTGCTTGGCATTGCTTGACATTGCTTGGCATTGCGTGGCATTGCTTGGCATTGCGTGGCATTGCTTGGCATTGCTTCGCAATACTTCACATTGCTTAGCAGTGCTTGGCAGTGCTTGGCATTGCTTAACATTGGTTGGCATTGTTTCGCATTGCTTGGCAACGGACAGTGGGCAACGTGACAGTAGGAGGCACCGGGTGCGGGAAACCTGCGGAACCTCCACAGAACGGGCAAAGTAAAAGTAAGAACACCTGAGACAAGCCGAATGGTGGAACAATAGGAAGCACCGTGGGCGGTGAACCCGAGGAACCCAAGAAACCTCCGGGCAACGGCAAAAGTAAGGATACGAGGCACCCATCTGTTACCAAGTAAGAACCCCGTAGGCAAGCCTAATTGATTGGGGAATGAATGGTTTCCGATATTGACCCCGAACAGTCAGCTATGGCACCGTGGATGTGTGAGCTCTGTGGTGCAAGTTACGTGGTGTAAGCTATGTGGTGCAATCTACGTGGTGCAACTCACTTGCCGAACTTGAAGTTGCCAACTCCACTGCTCGCGCAATCATCCCACCCACCCACCCGCAACTTGGTTTGCAAAACCCATGCGGGACCGAGCACAGATATCGCTCCGGGGTCGTCTTGGAGCCCTCGGGGGCGTCTCAAGAGCGCCCCAAGAAGGCCGGAGAAGCAAGACGGCCGACGACGACAACGACGACGGCGGCGACGACGACGATGCCGACGAAGACGACGACGAGGGAGGAGGGAGGACGACGACGGCGAGCGACAACGACGACAACGACGACAACGACGACAATGAGGGACGAGGGAGGACGGCGACGACGCGAACGACGAAGAAGGAGGAAGGACGGCGACGCCGACGACGACAACGACGAGGGAGGAGGGAAGACGACGACGAGACGACGACGACAACGACGACGACGACGGCGACGAAATAGGAGGGACGACGACGAGACGCCAACGACGGACGACGACGACGACGACGAGGGAAGAGGAGGAAGGACGACCACGGCGACAACGACGACGGAAACGACCACGACGCCAAAGAGGACGACGACGACGAACACGAGGAAAGACGCAGGACGACGTAGGCGACCACGACGACGACGCGGGAGGAGGGAGGACGGCGACAACGACGGCGACGACGACGACGACGACGACGCCGCAAGAGCGCGCGCGCATGCTTTTGTTGAAATTCCGTGTTGCGAAACCTTGTGTTTTTGTAGGTTTTTTGGACGCGCGATTTTGAAATCCTTCCGAAACCGATGGATTTTGAAGGATTTCGGCGTACGCGCGCGACGGCGTGCGCGTCTGCACTTCGTCCCCTTTTTTGCAGAGGATTCTCGCGACGGCACACGCGCAATGGCGTTCGACTGATTTCGACATGCGCGCGCGCGACGCCCGTTTGGTAGCATGTTGTGAAAATATTGAACCAATGTTTTTCTTAAGATTTTGCAAGAGCTCGCGCGTAAGCTTTTTTAGCAAATCAGTGTTACGAAACCCTGTGCTTTTGCATGTTTTTTGGAAACTCGATTGCGAAATCCTTCCAGCACCGAAGGTTTTTGAAGGATCTCGGCATGCGCGCGCGACGACGCGCGCGTGTGCACTTCGTCCAATGTTTTGCCAGGGATTCGCGAAAAGAAGTGTTATGCCAGAACAGAAAATGTCACCGCGCAGTGCTTTTTATACCAGGGAATCTCAGGGGGGGGAACCCGGTTGGCCTGGGACATTGTGACTTCATATTATACATATAACGGCGCACCGGGTCCGGGGGCCTGGGGCCGGGACCTCGACCGCAAATGTGCACCCCGGGGGGCCCGGAGGCTCGTCGGGGCTTGCCGGAGGCCTCCCCAGTCAGACAAGACGGCCCAAGAAGCGCCCAAGACGGCCCAAAAAACTTCCAAGAGGCCTCCAAGAGGGCTCCGAGATGCTGAAGATGGCCTCCAGACGTCCAAGGACGCCCCCAAGAGGCCCCAAGAAGCCTCCAACATGCGTCCCAAGAGGGCCCCTAGACGCAAAAATTGGCCCATTCCCTTCGTAAAACGTACATTTTCAACAAAGTTGTCTTTTGGGCTTTCCGACGTTACAGGACGGCCCAAGAGGCGCCCAAGACCGCCCCAAGACGGCCCAAGAAGCTTCCCAGAGGGCCCCAGGACAGCCCAAGAGGGCCCCAAGACGGCCCAAGAGGCGCCCAAGATGGCCCAAGAGGGCCCCAAGACGGGCCCAAGAGGGGGCCCAGAGGGGGACCACGAACCGCAAGCTCGAGCCTTCCGCCCCAAGAGGCCGCCAGGAGGCCCCCAGGAGGCCCCTCAAGAGGCCCCAGGAGACCCCAGACGTCCAAGGACGCCCCCAAGAGGCCCAAGAAGCCTCCAACATGCGTCCCAAGAGGGCCCCTAGACGCAAGAATTGGCCCATTCCCTTCGTAAAACGTACATTTTTAACAAAGTCGCCTTTTGGGCTTTCCGACGTTACAGGACGGCCCAAGAGGCGCCCAAGACCGCCCCAAGACGGCCCAAGAAGCTTCCCAGAGGGCCCCAGGACAGCCCAAGAGGGCCCCAAGACGGCCCAAGAGGCGCCCAAGATGGCCCAAGAGGGCCCCAAGACGGGCCCAAGAGGGGGCCCAGAGGGGGACCACGAACCGCAAGCTCGAGCCTTCCGCCCCAAGAGGCCGCCAGGAGGCCCCCAGGAGGCCCCTCAAGAGGCCCCAGGAGACCCCAGACGTCCAAGGACGCCCCCAAGAGGCCCCAAGAAGCCTCCAACATGCGTCCCAAGAGGGCCCCTAGACGCAAAATTTGCCCATTCCCTTTGTAAAACGTACATTTTTAACAAAGTCGCCTTTTGGGCTTTCCGACGTTACAGGACGGCCCAAGAGGCGCCCAAGACCGCCCCAAGACGGCCCAAGAAGCTTCCAAGAGGGCCCCAGGACAGCCCAAGAGGGCCCCAAGACGGCCCAAGAGGCGCCCAAGATGGCCCAAGAGGGCCCCAAGACGGGCCCAAGAGGGGGCCCAGAGGGGGACCACGAACCGCAAGCTCGAGCCTTCCGCCCCAAGAGGCCGCCAGGAGGCCCCAAGGAGGCCCCTCAAGAGGCCCCAGGAGACCCCCAAGAGGCCCAAAGGAGGCCCCGAGAAGCCCCAAATCGGCCCCCAAAATGCTTCGAACCTGCTTCCAGGAGGCCCCGACAGGTTCAGAGGCTCCCGAGAAGCTACGTCAAACTCCCAGCGAGCGGCCGGACGAGGCCCCCAAAAAAGTCCCAAGAGGGTTCCAGTATTTGTATCCTTCAGCGCTCTCTGTCCTTCTTCCCCCTGCCCCCTTCCCTGCGACTTTCGTTGACTCAAGCTCGCCTCCTCTCCATTTCCTCTCTCTGCTCTCTCTCTCTCTCTCTGTTTTTTTTTTGTTTCTCTCTCTCTCTCTCTCCATCTCTCTTTCTCTCTCTCTCTCTCTCCTTCGCTCTCTGTCTGTCTGTCTCTCTCTCCCTCTCTTTCTCTCTTTCTCTCTCTTCCTTTCACATTCTGTGTCCTTGCGACCTTCTGCAGTCCCCGACGTCGCCACGGCTGGATCCGCTCGAGCGTGTCTTGTGATGTGCGGCGGTGCGAAGCCCGTCCCACTGATCAAGGCACAGGTACGAAATGATGGGTCCATCATTTCTTGCCTTCCCATGTGCGTTTTCCCAATCGATTCCTGGGCCCGAGGTCGCAAAAATTACGACGTCGGAGGTCTGGGGAGGCGGGAAGCACGACCTGGACCTCCGACGTCTTGGAAAAATCACGACGGCGGTTTTTGTTAATTTTCGGCCTCCGGGGCCCCTCGCAGGTTCCCGGGACCGTCAGAAAACGACTCAGGATGAAAACGATTTGGGCTACAGGGCTATTGGGCTACAGGGCTATAGGGCTGTAGGGCTATAGGGCTATAGGGCTAGGGCCATAGGGCTATAGGGCTATGTGGGCTATTCGGCTATTGGGCTATAGGGTTGTTGGGCTGTAGAGCTATGGGGCTATAGGGCTACAGGGCTATAGGATCAGAGGGCTATAGAGCTAAAGGGCTAGATGGATACAGGGATATAGGGCTATTGGGCTATAGTCCTATAGGGCTATACGGCTACAGGGCAATAGGGCTACAGGGCTATAGGGCGATAGGGCACCCCCAGGCACCCCGGCACCCGGGCACCGGGCACCCAGGCACCCAGGCACCGGGCACCCGGGCACCCGGGCACCCGGGCACCCGGCCCGGCCGCATGGGGCCGGAATCTTGCCGAACCTCATCGAACCTTTTAATCCGCCAGGACCCTTACAGAGGCAAGCTCTGATTGGGTACTAACCCATGGCAACCGCCGCTACCTTCGTCGCCGCGATCGCCGCCGTCTTCATCGCCGCCGTCGTCGACGTCCTCGGGTTCTGTTCGGGCACCCTCTGGCCATCTCGTGGGGCACGCTGGGGGATTATCAGAGGCATCCGTACGTATCCTGAGGGGCCCCGCGACTTCCCCCAGAGACTCTAAGTACAGAAATTCCTATTGTATTCCGGCCAGAAGCAACCAGAACCGATGTACATTAGCCCTGGCGGGGGGAATGATGGCGATGGTGATGTTCATGATGACGACGGTGACGATCCTAGCTAGAACCTAAGCGCGCGCGAAGCGCGCGCGTGGTTCTAGTTAGGATGGACATGTGGTCAGAATCATTTGTGAGTTACATACTTGAAAGGGGGGGCGATAACGCCGGGGGGGGGGGGTAGAGTCTATTTTCTTGTTAGAAAGAAGAAAATACGTGGGGTAAGCTGCGTGGTGAGAGCAATGTCCTGCACGCCGCGTGGCGCCGGCTGCGTGGCGCAAGCCACGTGGATGCACGAGACCGCCACGGGCGTCACCAGGCGGAACCTCGGCATCCCCCCCGGCGCACGGGGCGCGCACGAGGAGCTCACGGGCGCCCACGGACGGGCACCAGGCGGAACGCGGGGCGCCCACGAGGCGCCCGAGGGCGGGCGCCCAAGGAGGAGAGCTCAGGATGCCCCCCTTGCGCAGGGCGCCGACCGGGGGGCACCAGGCGCGAAACCTCGGCATACCTCCCCAGCGTGGGGCGTCCACGAGACGTCCACGGGCGCCAAACAACCGGGCACCAGGCTAAACGCCTGCAAACCCATCCGAATTCTTAGTCAGCCCAGACTTCCGGAGGTCCGAAAGTTGATGTTTTTTTTTTTTTTTTTTGTTTTGCGGAGTTTGAATCTGATTTTCGCGAGGTGGGCTGAGCTGACTGGCTGGTCGCACCCAGGAGGCAGCCTTTTTCGCCCGTCGCCGAGTGCGCCACATATGGCCGCAAAGAGCAGCAGGTTGGTTGATGTTCGGCTCGGAGTGCGCAACCGGATGGCGTACCCAATAGCCTGAAGTGTTGTTGTCGACCGCCCGGCGCGCAACCTATAGCGTGCCGTTTTAGTTTCGGCCGCCGAATACAGCATACGGAGCAGCGAGTCGCAGGCCGGTTCAGCTTCTGCCAAGAGGTGCTCGACATTCGGCGTTACGAGTAGCAGGCTGTTTCAGTTTTGACCGCCGAAGCGCAATTGATTGCGAAGCGAATCGCAGGCCGTGTTGCTTCCACCGCCAAGAGTTGCAAATCGCAGGCCGTTGCATTTCTGGCCGCCCAGTGCGCAACCTATGCCGCAACGAATCCGAATCCCAGGCTGTTTTAGTTTCGGCCGCCGAGTACGCAACTCATGCCGCAACCAGTAGCAGGCCGCTGTATCCTCGGCCGCCAAGAGCGCGACCTCTGGCGCAATCATTAGCGAGCCTGTCTATGTTCGGCAGCAGCAGAGAGCGCAATCCGTGGTGCAACGGCGCAACCCACGGATCGGAGAAGCCACGGCGCAAGTCATGGCACTACCTATTGGGGAACTTGTGGATGGTGCAACCACTGGATCGCGCAACCTTTGGCGCAACCCATGCAGGTGGCACAGCCGAATTATGGCGCGATACATAGACCGCGCAACCCGTGGCGCGCCACATCGGTGACGCAGACAGACACATCATATGGCAGTCTCTATGGGGCTGCGCCAGTTTTATGCTCGCCGCTTGAGCTGGTGATGGAGACACCAAGCGGCGAACTGCCTTTACATTATATCAGTGTTTCTTCGGAACCGTGCAGTGGGCTGGTTCAGTTTCCCAGTTCCTTGATGATGCGCTGGGCCGTACGCGCGAATCTGGCCTGGAGTTTGATCAGGACTGTACCAGAAGGGTTGTCTTGGTTCCTTCGGTTGGCAGTTTCAGGATATTCGTTTTGGTTGTGGGACATGTAACACACATTCGTAAACTTGAGCCGGCAAGGTTAGAGCCTTCAGCGGTCCTCAATACGCGCTTGTCCACGAATTGATTGAAGGACGTGCTCCTGGACCACGGGTGTGTTTTGGCCCTCTCGTGAGAAGGCACATGATATGGCTTCGAAGGAATCTCTCCGCTCGAGGCCGTGGCGAGATCTGGGCGAGATGCTTGGCCAGACCGCAACGGCCTCCACGCGATGCCCCGTGCGAGAAGCTGGCGAGGCCCTCGCGGTCCTTCTTTGGCTCCCATGGGGCCCGCAAGCGTGCACGGACTGAGCTTCTAGCCAGCTGCGCTGGCCACGCTCCACCTCCTCCACCTCCACCTCCTCCTCGTCCTCCTCCTCCTCCTAAGTACAGGATGTCGGGGGTGCGCCGCAGTGCGAGCGGGCGCTTTCGGAGCGAGTTTCCTGTCTTGCAAGATCTGGGGTGCAATCTGTGCTGTGCCACGCACGGATGGCAGTCGGGGTGCTGCACGGTGCGTGGGACAACTGAAGTGGTGAATTTCTGCGCTGCAGCTTTACGTGCCGCGATCCGTGCAGCGCGGCCTGTTGGGTGCCACCCTGAACCCGGCCGGGGTCCAGACCACGGTGTCCGCGTGCCGGGGCATCGTCAACCGGCCTGATGCGGCCTGTGTGGCGTCACCCTCCGCGGCTGCCCGCCTCGCTTCCTGCCTCCCCGGTGTGCGTAAACCTGCCGTTGCACAACCCGTTCCAGGCCACCGCGCGCCGAGCGACCGCTAGCGCCGGGGCAAAAGACGTTCAGAATGAACAGCAAAAACAACAAACAGGATGAATAAGTGTCAGTTCCCATGGAAATGACGTAAAACATGGAAATTGGGGCAGAAGAGGAAAATCCAGAAAATACTCGAAGATATGGGGGCACCTGGAATTTGCTCCTATCTGCCTGTGCCTTCCCGGGCCCCTTCGGACGTGTGGCGCCACCCTGGCCTCGGCCCAGGTTCCAGACCACGGTGTCCGCGTGCGGGGGCAGCGTGGAGGAGGCGCAGCGCGTCGCCCGCCTCTGCTACCTCCGCTTCGCCGAGGGCGCCGGCCCCGAGGAGGTGAAGGCCTACAGGAAGGCCCTGTACGGGGCGCTGCGGGGCGCGGCTGCCGGGCCCGCCGCCCCGGCGGGGGAGGCGGCGGCGCGGCGGGGCAAGCGGAGGGCCGCGCGGGCTTTGGGCGCTGAGGGTGGGGCGGCGGAGCAGAAGCGGCGGTTCCAAGATGGGGCCCTGAAGGACGGTTGTAGGTCTGGAAATGTGAACGTTTCTTGTCCCTCTCCAGCGTAACGCTCGTGATGTACCCAGGCGAACCCCCCCCCCGGGTAATGCTGACGGTCGTGCTGGGGGGAGGGGCAGGGCCTCCCCCTTTCTGCTGGGAGCGGACCCCCCGCATGTATGGCGCTGTGCTCACAGGCATGGCGTGGTCTGAAAGGCACGCATTGGTGCTCACAACCGTGTTGTGGCGCTTGCAGGCTCCCCACCTGTTGTGGCGCCGAGCTCACAGGCATGGCGTGGTGCTGAAAGGCATGTTTGGGTGCTCACATGCGCGTTGTGGCGCTTGCAGGCGATTGCGGTGCGCGTAGGTCAGACGGGCTCACTGCCAAGCCGGCCCATTCGGAGGGTAGTGAGATACGTAGTTGTGGACGAGGGACGGAACAGTAATACAGGGCCAGACAGTCGTCGTCGTCGTCGTCGTCCAATGCAATTGGCGATGGCTTAGCTACGGCAGGCTGGTTCGACCACTCTTCCGCAAGTGCAACATGCGGGAGTGTTTTTTCTCTTCTTTCTGGCCAGCGCTCGATTGCAGTGAGATAGAGTCAACGCGCCTAGTCAGGAGGCGCGCCTTCTCCAAGGTACACTTGTGTCGTTGCCTCTGCGGCCTGTCGTTTGCCGCTTTCATTGGCAATTTTTGCAACAGAATCTGAATTTCGGATTCCAAGTGTCTTGCGTCCTTACGATCCGCCCTTAATGAATGCACGTATGGATTGTAGACCCAACTCCATGGAGAAGATGAAGACTGGGCGGCCCCGCGCCTTCTCCCGCAGGCGCTGTGGTGTGCGCAGGCGATGTGGTTCACGCAGGCAGCGTGGTGCACACCGGCGTTGTGTTGCACACGGCTGATGCGGTGTACGCAGGCGCTGTGGTGTACGTAAGCGCTGCGGTGCGCGCAAGCATTGTGGTGTACGCCGACGCTGCGTTGCACGCGGTTGCTGTGGGTACACAGGTGCTGTGGTGTACGCAGGCATTGTAGCGCACGCGTGTAGAATCCTGAGGCGCCCCACTTTCCATAAGGATTCGATTGACACTTGTTTTTATATATATAGCATGTTTTGTTTTGAATCCAGTGGCGCCTATTTTTGCATATATTTCCTGTTATCAAGCAGAGGTTGTCCGTGGAATCCAGAGGCGCTTCGCTTTCCATAGCGATTCCTTTTGAAATCCTATGTTAGGATTTTTTAGAGGGAATCCAGAGGTGCTTCATTTTCCATAAGGGCTCCTTCTTAATAATCATTTTGTGCACAACGGTTGTCTGTAGAATCCAGGGGCGATTCACGTTCCCCGGAGATTTCTTTCAAATTTTGATACTATCGATTCGTTGTCTCTGAAGTCGTGAGGTGATCCAGTTTCATTGTGCTGACGTCCTGGTGCACACAGGGAATGCGGTGTACATGGGCGTTGTTGCGCACACGGTTGTTGCAGTATACACGGCCATTGCGGCGTGCTTAGGCGACGTGGTGTTGCAGTGCACGTGGTTGTTGTGGTGTACGGTGGCATTGTGGTGTGTACACAGGTGGCGCTGTATTGCACGGAGGCGTTGGGCATTGTCGTGTACACAGGGAGTGCGGTGCACACAGGCGATTGCTGCGCCGGTGGCGCGGACGCACCCTGGCGGGCGCACGCCGCGGCCGCCGTTACCGTTACCCTGCCACGCCCGCCCCCCCACCCCTGGTAACGGCCGCTACCCAGGAAAAGGGGAAAACAAACGGACACAATGCGCACCCACACCAACACAGGAGATTGCCTCCACCGGGAGGAGTTGATCCTGGATGTTGGTGTTGGTGATAATCTTTCGGCCACCCTGGAAGCCCAAATATAACCACCATCACCGAGATCGGGGTCATCTTCCCTCGATGTAGGCACGCCGCCGATATTGGTGTTGGTGTCATCCCCTCGGCCTCCGTGATCGGGAACACTGAGGGTAGGAGGTGTTTCGCGAGGCTGGCCTCCGCTGTGTGTCCGAGGTTCGCGTATGTTCGCGTCCTTACCAGGCCCCGTCCTTCGGGGCGCCATCGCTGAACCGCCAGGAGAAGCGGGCCCGGCTCGACGAGGGCGCCCCGGGGGCCACCAGAAGCGGGTGGCTGCGGACGCAGGGCTGTCCAGAGGGCTCGCTGCTGGTGGAGGGGCGGTCCCCGGGCAAGAAGAACGCCTCCATCAACGGGGTGTACGCCCGCCGTGCCGAGGGCTTCGGCGGCCACTGGGCCTACGAGAAGGTCGGCTCCGCGACCGCCCCGAGATTTTTGTACTACTGGGCCGAGAAGTCCCGGTGGAAGATCGACAGCAGGCTGCCCAGCGACAAGGGCGGTTTCGCCTACCTGAAGGTGGCGGGGGTGAGGTCTCCAGCGCTGGTTGGGCCGGGCCACCAGTGGCACGTGTGCGATGGCAGCAACCAGGTTGCGAGGGTTTGATTGGAAACCTCCTAGACTCGCGCTAAACATTCGACCATCGATAAACTTGGCACTCAGGCAAGAACAGGCGAGGTCGAGGCGAAGTTGTTGCTATGTTGGAAGCGTGCGAAACTCACGTCGAATCCGATTGGTGCCCTGTGCACTCTTGGACGCCATCACTGGGGCGCTCACGGAGGCTCAGCCAAACAAAAACATAAGGACGCTGGCGCCCGATCTTCGAATCCTTTGATTTGGCCCGTGGTCGCAGCGGCATTCTTTCGTTCATGGCAGCCCAAATAATCAGACATCATAACAATAAGGAGGAGGAACAGGGAGGAAAAGGCGAGAATGAGATCATCAAAAGTCATGCCATGTCGAATGCAAGCGACAATTGATTGCAGGCGTCGACGAGGTCAGGTCCTAGAGAAGAAACCAGGCTGCTAGCTCGTGCCAATATAATTATGCGATCTTCAAGGCACTCGAATGTCTGACCGAATTCCCCAGAGGTCCAGAAGACATGGAAGCAGAAGCTCTTATCGCGGCATGCACTTTGAGGCATATTTCACGGCGTGGTCATAAGTCTATGAACAATATCGGTTGTTATTTGCGTATCCGTTCGACATCTACGCAATCACCAATGTGTTCGCATCAGGGACGCATTGTTCAGCATCACACTTGAAACACAAGAGCACACGCATGTCATCGACAAGGCATTGAAATGATGGAAACGGTTTAGGCCCACCGCCCTCTTGTTTGACGCGAGCGATTTTGCATCATTGACGCCGTAGCGAATATGTGAATTGGCTCGATCATAGTTTCTGTTCGGGGTAGTTGGGTTTGAGTACCAATGCATGGGCCGAGAAACCATGCTCACCTAAAATAGTCGACGCCGGCCCAATACATGTCATGTCCGAAGTTGGTTATCCGAACATGCCTTCATGTCCGGATAACTTGGCCGAGATCCACACATCTCACAGTGACGTCGAAACGACACTCGCACGATCGCCCAGGAAGTCCAGGCAAGCCCACACCACACTAGACCACTGAGACTCCCCCACGAACACTCGCCCGCAACAGGGCTACAGCAAGGACCCCGGTGTGCGGTGCTCGGAGCTCGCGCCCGTGCCCGAGCCTGCGGCCCCGTCCACGGCCGCCCCCGGCGGCGAGGAGACAGCGGCGCGAAGCCGGCGGAGTTCGGACGAATCCAGCGCCGGGTCTGACGACGACTCGGATAGCGATTCCGACGGCTCTGACGACGGATCCAGCTGCGCGAGCGAGGGGCTACGATCAGCTCGGCCAGAAGGCCCCTCTCTGGCGAGCGGCGTTCGGGCCGCTGGTACTGTGAGGGCCCGGGCGTGCGCCAAGATGATGGCGCGATCTGGCTTGCGTTGTGTCTGTCACTTCCGGCTGGCCTGGACCTGTCCAGGTGTTGCGAAGTGAGGAAAATCATGTTGTCCCGATTTGCTGGCGCGTCCTCCCACCCTCCACCCCACAACGCCAGCTACAAGCAGGGTGTATTGCCCATCGATGGAGAGGGAGGTACAGAAGAAGAGAGAGAGAGAGAGAGAGAGCAAACAAACAAAAAGAGAGATAGTGGAAGGAACAGACAGGCTGACGACGACGACGACCGCGCAGGCTGGAGGCCATGGCCAGCGAGACGAAGCAGGTGCGCGACGAAGGTGAAGGCACAATCCCAACCCAGCGCCCGTCCGCAAGGTTCATGCTTGGACTATTGCTGCACGGCTTTGTCCGATACGCATGTGCACACGCAGCCGACCCCTCCTGGTCTTGGGAGCTCGGGGGTAGACAGGACACTTCACTTAGATCGAAGGGACGAAGGAAACCCGATTCTGGTTGGCCACACGCGCCGCTGCATAGTGTTGGACTGCGTCGAATTTTACGATACCAGGGTAAAAACTGCCAGTGAAATCGATTGGCTTGCGGGCTGGCCCATGGCGCCTTGGGGGTTTTCACTAGTCACACGGGAATTGCTTGTCACGCTGACTTCGCACCCCGATCGTGTCAATATGTGTTATCAGGTTTGCCTTGTTCGCTTGTCAGGTGGAGGCGGCTTCCCGTAAAATTGGAGAGTTCGGCGTCTCCGGTTGCCCACTTATTCTTGGGGTGACTTTTTGGGATCGCAGGAGTTCCAATCTTGTGGTTTCCAGCTTAGCTCGGCCGGCGGATATTGTCACCAAGTGAAGCGAATCGTTTTACGTCGACTATCACATTGACTGGTTTCGCTGTTGCGCGCCCGTGCCAAGACCAATGATTTGCCGCGGGATACGGGACGGGCGAGGGGAATGGGGTCAGGGGGTGTGTAATACCAAAAACACAAAACATGTCGCGCGCCGTCCCCCCCATTTGTCTTTCCCACCTACCGTCCATTCGAGTATGACCGCACCGCTACCCGCACAGGCAGGAGCCCAACCCAACAACGGCAAATTGCTTTGCCAATCGTGGAGATCAAGTATGCAGAAGGCACCGCGCGGCAACGCCGCGGGGCGCCGGCTTTTTGCCCGGACCCGAATTTCAGCGCACGGCCTTCCCACAACCGACAGGTATCGGCGCAGGACACGAAAATTATGAGGTACACTGCCGACGATACCCAATTCGCTCTAAGGCACGCGCATACACAGTTTACTACACGGCATGTTGTGCGTTCACAGTGGCTGCACAGCTAACCAGTGCCGCGGCTCAACGATGTCGGTGGCGGCGGTTGTGCCACCGCACAAAACCGCCGCATGCAAATAGTTCCAAACACGGACAGACGGTACCGTGCGGTTTTGCCGCGGAATATTGTTTATTTGTGCGGGCGCGAATGCGGTTCCGCCAAGGATCACGTTTCCCCATGTGGGCATGCAGGGATGTTACATCGATTGACTTGAGAAAGCATGCGGCCTTTTTAATTTGATCGTAGTGGGCCAAGAGTTGCAGTCTCATTGTGCTATCCATGTTGGTGTTTGTGGAGATGGATAGAATCCCCGTTCAGACGGAGCGGTGGTGCTGTGGAGTTTGGGGTGTTCTGTTTGCGTGGGACCGCCTACGGCAGCACGACAGCCTACGGCATTTTCCATCGGCTTGCGTGGGGCAGTCCAGTTGGGTGATTTCCGGATGCAGAGCAGTTTCTGTGCGGAGCGTACAGGCGGAACGTGGGATCGTGCGGGAGTTGTGTCACGATCTGTTCTGTTCGTCCGAGCACGGGGGCCTGGAGGGATATAGCCTCTTTTGATTGAAAAAGGCGCGGTTGGTACCATGCGGCTGTCGATTCGGAGCTATGGCAGCGCAATTGTTGTTGAATTGCAGTGGGGTCCGCTCCCCGCCGTCCTTTTGCCACTTCCCCAGAAGCACCGCCGCAAGCCACAAACAACCAAAACACCGCCTTTCCTCCGTAGTCCTCCCGCTTCCTCGCTCCTCCTCCATCCTTTTCCTGCCTCCCTCCCCGTTCCCCCTCCCAACAGTCAACCCTTCGGTCCATCCCTGGTTGCTTTCGCTGGCCGCGTCCCGCGCGCAAAGTGTCGGCATGGCCTCCCACGGCCTTGTCATCCTTATCGCGCATCCTTACGGGTTCATTGTACATCCTTTCTCCTCAGTCTTCCCCCGTAGCACTCCTCCATCCTCACGCTCCCCCTTCTCCCCTCGCCTCCCCTCGGGCCATCACCCGCCATCTTTCTCCCACTCCTCCTCCTACAAATTCCTCATCCTCCTCTTCTTCTTCCCCTCTCTTTCGAACGTCCACGCCCAGCGCACTCCCACTCCTCGTCCTATTCCCCTTCCCTCCCCGCCCTGTTCTCTCCCCGCCCCGCTGCCGACTGTTCGCCGCTGACGGATTGCAGTTCTGGATGAGTCCCGTCCAGGCAGGCCTAGGATGAGGATGAATCGTTCTAGAACGTTGCGGAACGTTTTCCGAACGATCCAGAGCGCTCTGGAATCGACCGCGGCGCCGGATACATCCGCCAGACCCTCGGCGTCTCGTAGATTTCCAGCTGGAGCCCCATCCGAAGTTGCCTTTTTCTTCCTTTTGTCTTTCCCTTGGCCGCGCTTTCCGCCCGATAAGGCAACGGCGCCCGGCCAGGCCCTTCGTGAGCCCAGGATCGGCGTGCGTGCCTCCTTGGCCGGGCCAGCGGGGCGCACGCACCGCTCCTGGGCCCAAGAAGTGCCTGGCCGAGGGCGGTGGGTGCGTGCAGATTGTTCGGCTTGTACGACGCTCTGCGGATCTCCCTTCAGGCGACCCTGCAGGTCTGTTCTGCGGAGGCTCCGAGCACCGTCCATGGGCCTTGGGGGCCTCTTGCAGCCGCGTGGGGGCAGTATCGAGAAAGCATTGTTTTGTTGCGTTTATTGGGGCCGTCTAGGGTATCCCAGGGCCCTTATTGGGACGTCTTCGGCGCACCTGTTTGTAAACGTGTTGTGCAGGAGAGAGATGGTTTTCTCGTGCAATTTCAATGTGTTGTTCGAATGCTGCGAATTCGATTTCGATGACTCTATAGGATAGGTTGCAAATGCTTTGCACATGGCCAAACTGGTGTTCACAGCGATCGCGTCGCAGTCCATTCGCCCCCATTTTTGAAAAGGATTGACACCATCAGTCCCGTACTAACAGGGGCCAGCTTGAATAGGGGACACATACTTTTCAAAAGCGGCTCGGTCGTTCCTTTGGTTTGAATGCGTTTTGCTACCTTTTTGGCCGCGGGCTCCCCTGGTGTTCCTTTGGACTACCTAGACTTGCTTGGAAAAACAGGGGCTCCGTTCCCTATCCTTAGGTCAGGCCGAATCCTGTAATACGAATTGCCAGGATGGCCTCTTGGGGGCCTCTTCAGGGTCCTCGCGGAGGCCGCCTGGGGGGCACATTCGGAACGTCTCGGGCAATTTTTTTTGTTCACGGGGGGATGCGCGAGGGCGCGGCACGCGGCTTCCAGCCGCGGGTCACCACCGATTCTCTCGCGTCGCGTTCGCGCGTCGCGGCGCGCCGCGCGAGATTGTCGCCTCGCCTTCTCGCCGCATCGCGGCGGTGCCGCGGCGGCCCCGCGGCGGGACGCCGGCCGCGCTCGGGCGGGGGGTCGGCGGAGAGCGTGGTGCATGGCAATCACCAAAGCTACATTGAAAGGGAGAAGGAAGGGGGGGCACAATCAAACCAAACTTTCCAGGGGGGAGAGGCGACCCCCTTCTCCCCCCAGAGAGGGAGGTGCAAAATGAAAGAACATTTTGAAGCCCAAATGGCTAAAGAGCCAAACGAGCGAAACAGAGGCAACATATTAGATCGCCGAACTGCCTCCGCCTAAAGAAGTAGCAAGGTGCCCTGGCTTGTGCACCAAGGAGCTGGGAGGGACAGGAGGTTTTCGCCTCCTTCCCTCGGGAGTTCCCTTCCGTGGTCAGGGGGGGCGAACGACGAACGACAAACGAAAGTAAAGAGGTCCGAATTTTGGAGCACAGTTGTGCAATATTACAAACAAGTCCGATCGCTAGAACACAGCAGGCAAGGCCAGGGGGGCCAGGGGAGAGGACGAACGAGTGGGCCAGGGAGGCCAGGGGGGAGAACGAGGAAGGCTGGGTCCAAGGCGATGGCCGGGGGGAGGGCTGGGTCGAGGGCCAGGCCAGAGGGGGCACGGAGGCCAGGGAGGCCAGGGAGGGAAAGGCGAGAGAGGGTGGGCCGAGGGCGTAGGTCCAGGGGGGATGGCTGGGTCCAGGGCAAGGCCAGGGGGGCCAGGGGGAGGACGAACGAACGAACGACGACGACGAACGACGAGCGAACGAACGACGACGACGAAAATGAGGAGGCGGGGGGGAGGACGACGAACGGGAGGCCAGGGGGGGTAGAGCGAGGGTGCTGGGTCCAAGGGGTGGGTTAGGGAGACCAGAGGGGGGAGAGCGAGGGGAGCTGGGGAGGGCTGGCTCCACGACGAGACCAGGACGGCCAGGGGGAGGACGAACGACGAGCGAACGAACGGCGACGTTGAAAATAAAGAGGTCCGGGCTGTAGAACATAGCTGTGCAAGGGAATGAAGTGATCGGGGCGGAGGGGGCGAGGTGCAGAGGGCAATGGGCGGCTCGGGGGTGGGGAACGGTCGGAGGGGCGGGATGGCGGGGGCGGTGCTGCGACGCCGAAATGATGAGATCGGGGCGGGGCGCCGGGATAAAGTTGTCGGGGCGGAGGGGGGCCGGGGGCACTGAGCGGGCGGGGGGGGAAGGGTCGCGGGGGCGGGGCGGCGGGGGCGGTGCGACGCCGAAATAAAATGGTCGGTCCAGAGGGGGGCGGGGAGCAAAGAGCCGTGGGCGGCTGGGGACGGGAGAACGGTCGGGTGCGCGGGGCGGCGGGGGTTGTGCGGCGCCGAAATAAAGTGGTCGAGGCGGATGGGGGCGGCGTGGAGAGGGCGCCGGGCGGGGGGGGAGGGTCGGGGGCACGGGGCGGCGGGGGTTGCGCGGCGCAGAAATAAATTGGCTGGAGC